AAGCCATTGAAGAGATTAATTCCAATCGGAATGTCACAGAAGGTTGGCGTTTTGGACGTCACTTCGGCAGACTTCGATGTAGATGCTTATTTGAGCTCACAGCTCAAAGAGAAGAATCTTGATGAACTTGTCAAGGAAGAGGAGGAGATGGTGTCATCGGTAGGGTACATAGCAGATTCTCGATTTTCTTTTGGATTTCAAACGGTCGTCATTGTAGGTTCGCCGCCTCGATTCCGATGTTCATCAGTTAGTCTATGAGAATTATAACAAATTCTTGACGGCGACGAGCACTGTCAGGAAAATCCAAGATGAATTTAATCTTCTGGACAGTGTAAGCTCATTAAGCTAGAAAGGTTTCTTCTTAAAGACACACTATATCTCTTTTTTGAATTCAAATGAAATGAAACTTCAAAAATTTTATTCCGTGACTTTCTAGGCAATAAGCTTTTCCTCTTTCTTCATTTTTCTGCTCTTTAGGAAATGGAATCTTTGAGTAGAAACATGAAGAATATATCTAGTCTGATTGGCGAATTAAGCGGTGTTCTTGGAGGTGGGCGAGAAGGTGTGGCACAACTAGGAAGCTCTTACAAAGTTGTGAAGAGCTTGCAGTCAATCTTTGAGCTGCCTAACATTCTCCAGGTTTGTTTGATTGTACTATACGTAGATTGAGACGAAAGAGAGTTACTAAGTCTGGGGTTGTGTAGTTCTTCTTACAGTCTGTATAAGCGAATGCAGATATGAGCAAAGTGTTGACGAGGGCACGGGGTTTTCAAGTTCCGCCTTAGTTTGTAAAGTTTGCAAGTATTGCTAGATTCCTTGGAATACTTCACTATTGCTCTATCCTGAAGTGTCATGCTGTTTCTAATGCGTAAAACGGTGCGAGGTTCAAAAATATTTGTCGCGAAAGTCTCAAAAATTTCTCTACAAGGTCTCCTCTATCGCATTTGTGATGCCCTTTTAGTTCCTTCACTCTACCCCTCAGATAACGTATGCCAACGGTGGTGAGTCCACAGCTGGAGCTTCGTTAGGTGATCCCAATGTCTTCCGCGCACTTGAACTTTACCACACCACGTAGAAATACTCATATTTCATGTTGACGCTCGAATTTTCGTGAAAGTGGCTGGAAAGAAAGGCGGCCCCTTTCCGTGCACTAAAGCCTCGTGGCGGCGAAATAGTAACAGCCTGTAAGACTAAATCTCAGGTCTAAGTACAGCGATGTCATGAGAGTTAATCTTTTAGCACGCAACGCTCTCTTCTTCTGCACCTCTCTCAGGTGCAAAAGAAGAGAGCTTCGGGTGCTCCCTCCCCATTAACTTAATTAGTAAACTCTTTTCTTTGACCTTGCCTTTATTTTGGCTTTCTTACAGTAGTATTCTGATGTTTGCTTTTAGGCATCTTTCGATGAGGGCAAGTACAGCGATGTCGTGAGAGTTTATCTTTTAGCCCAGAAAGGTTTAGGCAAATATTCGGATATCAAAAATATTTCGGAAATTCAGAAGAAAACTGATCAGATCATTGCTGAGACGGAAAAACAGGTCAACTATTCGCCACACTTCCTTTCTCATCTTAATAATCTCAATTCCGTTTACAGCTGACAAAGTTGATAAGTCGCTCTACCGAGGATGTAGAAGGTGTCGTTGAGGCGACTGGACTACTCATAAAGTTAGGAAAAACTCCACATGAGGTTGTTGTTTGGTAGTAATTTTCAAGTATAATACTGGATTCCACACTTTGTAGCTCGAAAAGCTCCTGCTAAAATCATCCGAATCTTCTCTGCAAACCGATTTGCAACAGCTTCAAAGCAATCCTGTAGATGTCTTGGATCTAGTTGACAAGTTTGTTATTTCTCGTAATGGTTTTGCTCGTTTTCTTCTCACATTTTATTGATTGCAGAGGATGTGAGTCGTTCATACCAAATCTCACCCTTCTCGCTAATCTTCATGAGCGTCTATTCCCAAACGATTCCGACCTCTTACTAAAAATGCTACAGGTTCATTACTTTCTTCAAAGGTTTCGGAATCCTTTCTTAGTGTAACGAATCCAATCCACGAGGTGGATTTTCCTTCTTTTCTGAACTTTTGATTTTTTCTTTTAGTCTCAGCTCGCTGATTTTCATGAGATAGTGTCCAAATTGTTTCTTGCATCGTCCGATCCCAAGGATCTCTACAGTTGTTCGTGCTCTTGGTCGATACTTATAGAAAAATGTCTACCTGTAAGCAGGTTGTTCAAGGTGAGTTCGTTCGACCTCTTCTCCGTTCCGGCTCAACTGGGGTGGCTGGAAAATCTTCTCGAGTCTATCAAATTTCTCGATTGAGCTTTTTTTGTTCAATTCATACCATCTTTTTTAAATTTTTTCAATTTCAAGA